TTTCCAAATAAAGTGAAAAGACACCGTACATGAAGTAGAATGTTGGTAGTCGGAGTTTCATTTCCTGTCAAGCACGTTATGGAGAGTGGACCTGTGACACATCACACAGCATCGTGTTTAAAATCACCAACAAACATTACACTTCAATCGAACAGAGTCAAACATCCTAAAATAAAAATACTGAAACCAACATCATGCCGATTGTAGGACGAGACACTTAAAGATCCCCTCCAGATGTTCGGAGACTCTGTGAATCATCATCTGTGACTTATATGATTTTTCCATAAAAAAAAAAAAGAAAAAAAAAAAAGGAAGTTCTGTAGTAAAAGCACAAACTCTTTCTTGCTTATTGAAAAAATAATCTGGAAATATTAAAGTGTTATTTATGTGTATTATTGGAACTGCTGGACGCTTCACTGTTTCCACATGACTCATGTTTGACCATTGGATGTGACGTCGCTGAGATTTAACACAGAAGCAGATGTTTGTTTGTTTACTCATCTCTGAAAAATGTGCAGTAACTTATACAGACATATAATTATACAGCATGAAGTTAGTTAATAGATTAGATTTTTTAATATTCTGAGTTATTTAACTTGATTTAAAATGTTGTTTCACATCTAATTGCTGACGCGTCCTCGTCCAACACTTTTCATTGCATCATGTGTCAATATGACAAACCTTGAACCTGACGAGTGTGAAAACAGCCTCTGACTCTCGACTGTATCATACAAGTGAACTAAAGAACAGGCAGAACATGGGTGTGAATGGACGGCGATGTTAGAAGTGTATTTGTTACCGTCGCCAGGGAGGTTCGTTTCCATCTGCGTTTGTTTGTTAGTTATCAGGATGACAACAAAACAAATGACTGATTATCAGAAAAACCTGGTGGAAGAATGCAGATGTGGGTCAGGGAGGGTTTTTGGTGTGGGTGTGGATCTTTATTTTTCATACTGGAACATTTTCACAGGTTTATAAGAGAAACATTCGTGGATCTTGATGAAACAACCACTGATAAACGCGTGTGAGCAATTTGTCACAGCTTGATAGAACGTGAGGGGACTGCTGAAACCGGAGGTGCGCTCTGTACCGAGGGTCATTCTGGTTCTTTTAATGTGCTAAGGTAACATATTTCCCCGGTTCCTGGCAGACACCGATGTTTGTATTAAACCTCAAGCTGTCAACACCAGCTCTGGAGTGCACGAGTCTGCTGAGGTGGTCTTTGGTTCAAATTCCAGACCGGCCTTAAACTACTTCATCTGAAGGGTCTGCAGTTCATCATCAAGTGCAGATGTGGAGTTACACATCTGACCGACACAAGAGGCCAACGCGTTCATCTTCCTGATCGACCTGCCTGAACCGACTGCTCCTCACATCCAACACAAATGAGAATAAACAGCATGTGTAGGAACAGAGTCATAATTCAGGTGAGTTCCACACGTATTAACTCTGCACCCGTCCCTCCCACTCACTCAGAAATAGACCTGTCATCTTGCCACCATCCCCTTATCGTCTAACTGCTAACAAGCCTATTTGCCTGTGACTGACGTTGATGCGATCCGTAAAGCCCCGGGCTTGGCACCAGATCGCTCCTAAGCCAAATTAAGCCTCTGTCATGCCCACCCCCTCCTCCAGCCCGGTGCTACCCCTGCCATGGGAACCCTAAATCTTTAATGACGATGGAGAGCTCTGCGCGCTCCCACGACACAAAAAAGCGATGACATCTGTCCCTGGAAGTGCCGCACTCCAGAGCAACCCCATTTGTCCCGTGTCCGCTGCTTGAAAAGAAATTAAATGTAAAAGTTGAGGGAGGGTGGAGGCTGCTGAAGGAGGAAAGGAGGAGGTGGAGCTCAGGAGGTTAAAACAAAGATCCTTTCTTTCAAAGGTTTATTTCCCTGCACCAGTGGTCCCTGTTCAAAGAAGGTGTTAAAAGAGTCTCGGCTCCACTGGCGACGACCCACCTGCTCTCAACCACGTCCAAGTTAACGTCCAGTGAGAAACATTTCATCTGAAAATCACTGAGAACCTCTGAAAGTGATTCATTTACCAGTGCAAGTAAATTCTTATGTAGTAACATAAGGTGAAAATGTCTGAAACTGACACATCACACAGAGAAAGAGCGCTTTCATTTAGTTAGAATAAAATATACAGAGTTCAACGTGTCGACCAGTATGAAAGACAAAATCTAAATGACGTAAGTATTTCAGAATAAAATACACGAATAAATGATAAAATAAACGATAGGCTGATACAAGCCCGCAGACATAATTAACATATGGACACAGAAACACCCCAAATAAATCAATAAGCAAATGTAGAAATAAATGAATGAATAAATGTGAATGAATAAATAAACACA